CGCACAGACACTAGTACGCATGCGTGTACTGCGCGCGTGCACGAGGACGCCGCCGGCCCCGTTCCAACCGAACCGGTTGGAACGGGGCGAGAAACTCACCCCTGGTTTCACATCATATTAACACCGGTTCGCCGCACACCGAAAATGTGAGTGCCTGTGTGCGCCTTCTGTGCAAGCGCTTTCCTCAGGCACCTGGCTTGCACGCGGCTTAGAAAACATGGCTCAATAGGATGGCGTAGCCCCAGTGCAAGTGGGTGGGTGCCACGACCGGTTCGTGCGAACCGGTCCAAACCAGCTGAATATGACCACTGCAGATAACTCTGCCAATTGTATGGAGATTGCAGCTCTATGCCATACTATTCTTTCATTGGTAGCATTTCAAAATCTATTTATTTATTGGGGGCTTCTTTGGGTTCTAAAAGGTTTGATAAGATGTTAAAAACTAAACCAGTTAGTTTTGGCAACGTTTAAGACTTGTGGACTTCAGCTTCCAGAATTCCCCAGCCAGCTTGTGGGAATTCTGGCTGGGGAATTCTAGGAGCTGAAGTCCACAAGTCTTAAAAGTTGCCAAGGTTGGATACCCTTGAACTAAACTAAGCAGAAGGGAAGAAGAATGCTTGTCTGTATTTAGTGCCCCTTAAATGTAAAAATCCTAATCATCATAATTATTTATTCTTACTTGTATCTTTATAGGTTGGTAGCCACTCAGAACCATAACAAATTAAAGAGGCTTAGAAATCCAATAAAGAAATACACATATATCATTTTCCAAAACTTCAGTCTTAACATGATGGGAAATACAGCAGATAGGGAAACCTATGACCATTTCCCCGATTAATCTATGAAAATATATATTCAACCTCAGGCTGGTAATGACTTTGTTTAGTGCATATTGGACTTTACTGTTTTGATATGTCGAACTGTATTGCAAATCAGCTAGAGAACACAGCTATTAAGCTAGCATTGTTCTCCTTATTGCAACTTATTTTCCCCGGCTTTCTGTCACCAGCATCAACAGTCAAATCTTAGCAGAAATACTAGAAGATGTGTTGAAAGGCACTTGAAGCAGAGCATATGACAATAACTCAGAGCAATGAATTAATGAGTTTATTCATTTCATTCATTCAAGAAACGTAGGTGTCTCAAGGACTCCCTAATCAGGAAAATGATATCCAACCCCCCAAGTTATTTTCACTCATCTATCCCAAACCTTAATGAGCATTTATTAAAACTTATATTTCATGTTCTCCCCTTGAAATCTTTAGCGGGTAAATCCCATAATATCCCTGGCCCTGGAGGCTTTGTCTATGTAAATCAGGGAAGGATGGTTTAGCGATTTAGTGATTAATATAGTTGGATGGGACTTTGTGGGTCATCTAGTCCAACCCCCTGCCCAAGCAGGAGACCTTATATCCGTGATGGCAAACCTTTGGCACACGCAACAGAGGTGGCATGCAGCGCCTTCTTTGATGGAACGCAAGCTATCAACCCAGTTCACCTTCGCTGCACATGCCCGGGTGCCTCCCGCTAGCCAGCTGATCTTCAGGTCCCGGTGTATGCGCAGGGGGAGGGCGTCAGAGGTGGTATTCAGCCAGTTCGTACTGCTTCGGGTGAACCGCTAGCGGAAATACTGAATAGTTCGGAGAATCGGCAAATACCACTTCTGGTTGGCCCCGCCCTCCTGCCCCCATCATTCCCTGTCCTAGAGTCCCTTGTTTTTTAGCTCAGCTGATTCGCAGAGTGGATTGCCGTGCCTCAGTTCAGCTCACCAGCGCTGACACCGAGGGCGGTCTTTGAGTGCTGCGCGAAGGACGCTCTCATAGAACCAGTAGGAAAAGATTTGAAATACTACCACTGGGGCATGTGGCCTCATGTGGGGGGAATGTGTGCACATGCCCGAGGGGGGCGGAGTGCATGCAGGGGCCCTGCGCGTGCATGCATGGGGGAGGGGCGCATTCAGAGGGGCCACATGTGCATTGCATTTCAGGGCTTCGGGCATGCATGGATGCACTTTGGCCACTCGGTCCAGAAAAGATGCCTCAAACTATTTCCGACAGATATCAATCCAGCCTCTTCTTGAAAGCTTCCAGGGACGAAGCTCCCACAACTTCCGAAGGCAACTTCTGTTCCACTGGTTGATTCTCCTCACTGTCAGAAGATTTCTCCTTATTTCCAGGATGAGCCAATGGATACCTTCTTTTGCTTGCTAATTTTTATTTTAACGCTTATGAAAGGCTAATTTATTGGTTTTGGTTTTGGTTTTAAATCCCAAGGCATCAATTTTGCATTCAGTATTAGTTAGCAAAGAATCCTAAAGTTATATATTTTGGTGGAAAAGTGTGGGACAAGATTTTTAAAGTACAGGCAGTCCTCAACGTACGACCACAATTGAGCCCAACACTTATGTTCCTAAGTGAAAAATTTGTTAAGTGAGTTTTGCCCTCATTTTAGAGATTTTTCTTGCCACGGTGGAGCTCAGCTGGGGCAACGACTGGCATACCTGCAGAGAGGGCTCTGTGGGCCACCATCACAGGTATAGGGTCTCCTGTTTTGAGCAGGGGATTGGACTAGAAGACCTCCAAGGTCCCTTGAAACCCTGTTATTTGAATGTTTTGTGTTCCAGTGATCCAATCCAGTCTAATTTGACTTCTCCAAGATTCAACAGTACAGTAATGACAGAAGAAGCCAGCACAAAAACTGTTCCAGCTCAGGACATTTTAAAAAGTACATACAGAAGACTGAAAAATGAAGTTGCTTTGAGGTGGATTCCCATCTCAAAATTATGTCCTAAACTGACATGCCATCATCACCTGTTTTTATTCGGCCGTCTCTGCTGATGACTCCACCCGGCTCAACACTTAAGACATAAATAGGTAGGTTCCAGTCTCTGTGTGAAGACAGACCTCCTGCCACCGTCATTCCCAGGGACTCTGCATTATCTTTTCGGACAATGACCACTTTTTCCTGACAGGTAACTGCGTGAAGGGCACTCTGCGAAGGACAAAGAGCAAACATAAATTTAGTCACTGGGCAAAGGTTAATTGGGACCAGTTTATCATTCATTCATTTGTCCCATTGCCCACCTTCTTAACTCACCTTGCTTCATTATCCCTGCCGTATAGTTGTGCAATATGACAAACTTTCCCTCTCCCCCCTCTCTCCTTCCCATATGTATATATAAGGTATATATGTGCTAGTTGTTTCCGACTCTAAGGGGTGGTGCTCATCTCCGTTTCAAAGCTGAAGAGACAGCACTGTCCGAAGATGTCTCCATGGTCATGTGGCCGGCACGACTAAACACCGAAGGCGCATGGAACGCTGTTACCTTCCCACCAAAGGTGGCTCCTATTTCTCTACTTGCACAGAAACCGCTTTGGTCGCATTGATGGATGATCTCTGGAGAGCCAGAGATGAAGGACGTTCC